GCCTCTCCTTCGCCCACCCAGGGCACGGCGGGCGCGAGGTTGGGCTTGGAGCATCTCACCCAGCTGCTGAGCTGCCTGAGGAGCTACATCCAGTGTCCCAGCCAGCACCAGCTGCGCCAGGACCTCCTGGCACTGCAGAGCTGCCTGCGGGCAGAGGGGCTGAGCCTCCCCCACCTCCAGGCCCCCCTCTTCGGCTTCCAGGCAGCGGTGAGTGGCCGGGGTGGAATGGTAGGGGGCTGAGTGGGCAATGCCCTGATGCGGGTGATGCCCCGGCGTGGGGGATGCCCTGGCATGGTTACACCCTGGTGCAAGTGATGCCCTGGTGCAAGTGATGCCCTAGCATGGGTGATGCCCTGGCACGGTGATGCCCTGACGTGGGTGATGCCTTGGCATGATTATGCCCTGGTGCAAGTGATGCCCTGGCGTGGGTGATGCCCTGGCACAGTGATGCCCCAGTGTGGCTGATGCCCTGGCATGGTGATGCCCTGGTGCAAGTGATGCCCTAGCATGGGTGATGCCCTGGCACGGTGATGCCCTGACGTGGGTGATGCCTTGGCATGATTATGCCCTGGTGCAAGTGATGCCCTGGCGTGGGTGATGCCCTGGCACAGTGATGCCCCAGTGTGGCTGATGCCCTGGCATGGTGATGCCCTGGTGCAAGTGATGCCCTAGCATGGGTGATGCCCTGGCACGGTGATGCCCTGACGTGGGTGATGCCTTGGCATGATTATGCCCTGGTGCAAGTGATGCCCTGGCGTGGGTGATGCCCTGGCACAGTGATGCCCCAGTGTGGCTGATGCCCTGGCATGGTGATGCCCTGGTGCAAGTGATGCCCTAGCATGGGTGATGCCCTGGCACGGTGATGCCCTGACGTGGGTGATGCCTTGGCATGATTATGCCCTGGTGCAAGTGATGCCCTGGCGTGGGTGATGCCCTGGCACAGTGATGCCCTGCCACGGTGATGCCCCGGTGTGGGTGATGCCCCAGCACGGCTCTGCCCCTTCCAGGTGCGATGGGTGCTGCGCCAGCACCACATCAAACCCCACTGGATGTTTGCGCTGGATGATGCCGTGAGCCAGGCGGTGCAGGCAGCTTTCACCGTGCTGGTGAGAGGTGGGTGGCACTGGGGGACGGCTGGGATGCGGGTACGGGTCCCACCGCCGTGGCTGGGGTGGGTGGAGGAAGAAGGTGGCTGGCCTGGGGGTGGGCTGGGGGGACTTTGGGGTGCTGGGAAAGGGATATGAGGGGGGGAGCCAGCACTGGGGCAGCCTTGGCTGGGGCCAGCTCCCTGGTTTGTCC